ACTTTAAAAAGATAGATTTCATACAAACTTTCTTCTCCTATTTTAACCCTTTATGTAATATGAAAATCGAAAAATGCTAATAATGGTATTTATTTAATTGTATTAATTTTGGGTGCATTACAATGTTTTCCCGTGAGAATTAGATAACCTCCCGCGGTAAAAAATAGCCTATGTCACTCTCCAGCCCTACAACTATCTCCACACAAAAAATCAGGCCAATCCTTCACTCGGTTTTCATATGAAAGCAGGACAAACAAACACACTTTCATATTTATAATATTAAGTAAAAAGTACGGAAGTATGGATTTATTCGTAGTTTATAGGTTCAAGTAACGATTCTACTCGCGCCTTTGTAACTAATGAACCAATGAAACAAAATACACTCAGACTGGCAACTGTGGATACTGCCTAGAGGCAATATTTTCCTTCACGATACGCGTGGAATAAAAAGACGCGATAAAAGTGATGTATACTGTGTTCTATGTTCTTACATTTCTTGTTATAGAGCGCGGTACATAACAGTATGTATGGTAATTTGTTTACATATTAGAATGGATATTGTTATAAAGTATTATGTAAATATTTTTTCTTGGCTTAGTATACTTGCTTAGTTAGGCATTTTAAGATATTTAACGCTATGTATTAATAATTCAGGAAAATCCGTATTTTTGTACTAATTCGTAAACTCGTTAATCGATATTAAAGTCTCCTTCAAATTAATAATGTTATTAATTTTATTTAATATACCATAAAATATTAAACGACGATCAAAAGGATTTAGGACGTGGATAATAATGGAAAAGCAGAAGAATAAAAGTGGAATGAGAGCTTGTATGTTTATAGCTATCTATAGAAGCCTTACTTACGCTCTTTCGTGCCTAGTGCTTAATAGAGAATGAGGAAAAAACATACACACGCCTTTATAAATTTTCACATTGATAAATAGTGCTTCGATTTATACTTTAGCTTATCGGATTCACGCTAATATCTAAGTTAAATCACGTACAATGTAAAATATACTTATCACGCGATCGAAGCAGCGGACTATCACTAATAAAACGTGTTAATATCTTTATATTTTTATACCCAGAACGAAATATATGTATGAATATGATATAACTTATAAACAAACTGTACAGTAATTAGTATAGAAAACGGATATTCGTAGGGAGTCAAGCGCTACGTCGCGTAGCGATGTTCCATCCGTTGAGTTTTAATGGTCGGTTTTATGTCCTCTCATATAGCTGTAAAGCCTTACTATTGTGACAATCTATAAAATTATTTATGTCATCAGATACTCATATTTTTAAACTCTGTCTGACAACACAGTTTATATAACTAGTAGATTGTTGCAAATAGATATAAGAAAAAAAGTTACGTATTGCATGTTGTTTACTTTAAATTATACTTTCAGATAAACTATACAATACAACTATAAATACAGATTGTACTTCTGATTGAGACAAAGTGTGTTTATGTCTTCCCTTAATTACTGTGATCCTATCTCGTATTTGTCAGATGTCAGTAATATTTCGCTTCGCGAAAAAGAACAAAAAGAATGTAATAGACTATTTTTTAATTAAAAAATAACCTATATGTTTATGTTTGTTAGAACGCTTCACTTTCAAGATCGACCAGTGCTTTAGAATGTTATAGGGATCAACTATCTAGTATCAAACTGTGATCTTTTGAAGCGAAGCACTTTCACATAAATAAACTATGGGGGTGAATCCTCGAGAAACTGCTATATATCCTTTGATATTGAGGATATCAAGCTTCACCCAAGAGAAACATTCTTTTGTTTTTAAATATAATAAGAGCATTCAAACATTTTATTAAAAAGCTTACTTGAGCCCGATAATCTAGGCAATCTAGGGATAGGGAATGGAAAATAGAGGATGATCTTAAACTTAAATGGAGCAATGAAACAAAATAGACGAAGCAAGTGGAGTGGCGGAGAAACGCTGGTAAAATATATCTGGAGTGTTGTCACTAGCCCGAGAGGACGCGAGTGGAAAGTTTCTCAATCATCGGGACGAATGTTTAACTTTGCAGGAATTCATTGTGCGTATGATAAGTTCCTTATCACAAATTGAGTGATTGTTCAAGCGTGAATATTATGTTACAGACAATTTATGTGTAGCTATTTATTGTATAATATCAAAAATATTAGATTATTGTGTTATTTTACAATTTACTTACTCTCGCAACGCGCGGATGCGTCCCTAGGTGTCATTTGTATATACCTACATATAATACTAGCAGACCCGGCCATGCGTTGCTGCAGCACACTTATAACTTAGACTTATTAAGTATTATTATTAAGTAGTTTCGGAGTTCATCGCGGACAAACCTCGTAACACGGGTGTTTTGTATATTTAAGGGTGGGGCAAAACAATTTTTTTTTCTTTTAAGGCTCTGACCAGACTCAAAAATAAAACCGTGGAGAACTTGAAATTTCTAATACTAAATAATAAATACTGTTTAGGTACATATTTACTCAGGTTACGCTTCGCGACGTCCCACGATTTTATTTTTGAGTCTGATCAATGCCTAGATTGATGAAGAGGGTGGTGTGATGATTGGTACCTAGGACCTACCTAATTATTTTTTAGCTTTTAATACATATTCTACATTGTTATTATCTTTCTTTTTAATAAAACCGTTTAACTAAAAAAAATACCTATTTTATTTTCAAGTTGTTAGTTTTTTTTATTTTAAACTGTCTAAGCCCTACTATCTACTTGTAAAGCCCTTTCATGTGATACCCATATTGAGTGGGTTGTGGAAAAATATGTAATCCGCTATTTTGTGTCGACGGCCATCTTGTATTTACAATGATACTCAATATATTCAATTGTATCGTCATCAGAAGTATAGGTGTTTATCAAATATTAGATGAGTCTATCAACAGGAAAGGGTTAAGATTTCAATTATTAAATTTGTCCCAAACAAACAGGGTAAGCTAAATAAAACCGTTTAAAAACAGAAAATATATAGAAATTGATTTAATAATAAATTAATTATAATAAGAGCATTGCCATCGATGGATTGATATCGCTCATAGTTCAACTCTATCTCGCTTTAGTCGATTAAGACAAACGTAATGTAAAAGATTAATATCACTTTATGGAGTGGAGCTCTTTAGGAAATTCCTTTGGTAATTTTGCTAAGTAAATTCATACAAACCTATTCTATGATCCTAGTGAAAGATATTATATTATTGACAAAGTATATTATAAAGTATCTACATTTTTAACTTACTGTGTGTCAATTTAATGTCATTTATACTAAATAACGCTTCAACCGCTGAACAGATTTCGATAAAATTTGGTATCGACATAGATTGTATCCTGGCATTGGACATAGGCTACCCTAGATTCTCACTCCACTCATGAGCGCGAGCGAAGCCGCAGGCTAAACTAGTTTTATATAAATGCTTGCGAGCCCTCCTACATAAAAATATATACTAAAACCCCGTGATTAAACTAGCTAAAGGAAAATCAATGTGTCGAGTACTTATTGGTTACATATACAGTTGTGCAATGTGCAGGGTGGGATATCGGCGCAGCTATGACTGTACTGTAACAAGTGACAGTACAATGTGCGTGCGTGTATATGTGTTTGATGTCTGTTCTCCTACACGCTAATACGGTAAACCTGGACTATACTAATATTCAGTACACAGATAGACTATGACCTGGAGTAACACATAGATGGTACTATATATTTTAAATAGTGTAAATTACAAAATGCACCCAGAGACCCAAGCAAACCGAGGGTAAATAGCTAGTTATGTTTTCTATTACAAAGACAGTTCATTAAATAAAAGTCACTAAAATTTTGTGAAACCAGTTGGCGACTTGTATTAATTTAATGGGGATAAAATTAAAGTGTCAAGACTCAAGATCTTTTCAGTGGACTTGATGAATGAGTTTCACTGAATTCAATTATAGAGTCGATTAGGTTTTTTGTTCGGACTGGGCACCTTTCGTAGTGATCGACGATGCTCATTGAGGAATAACTGATGTCCCTTAAACGCGTATATTTTACTATGAATATGAAATTTAGCCATACCAGCACCTTACCATCGCTTTGCTCGGGTGCGTCCCCTGGGTACTTTATAATTTTTTTAACGGAACCCTAATTTTTTTTCCAAAATAAAAGTAGCCTATGTTACTCAATATAAAATCAGTTATCTGCTAGTGAAAGTCTCGTCAAAATCAGTCTAGCCGTTTAGGAGATTAGCTGGAATAAACAGAAAGACAGACAAACATTTTAATTTTTTTTTCTATTTTATAAGTACCGTTTATAATTTTATAAGTATTTAGTAAAAAGATATTATTTTGACATTACAAACAGACATTTCAATTTTTATTTATCTGTCTGTTCTATCCCTGCCCTGTCCTGTCTGTCAGATAGGAGACACTTGCGATTGTTATACTTTTACATACATACATATATTATTATTTAGGAAACACAGATTGTGTATGCTCTCTTATATTTTCACGATTTATTCTTTTTAACTGTAAAGTACATATTTATACACATTAAGTTTATTAGAATTAAATTGCCAAAAGGTACTTACTAAGAAAACAAAATTATGAACTTTTAATTTATCGCTGTACAATGCTACAAGGTTCAGTGGGTAGTCATCTTTATTATTGAAAACGGCTCGTAGCTGAATGGCAAAAGTTTTAAGTGCTTTACTATTGAATAGCCCTAATTATAATGAAATTAGTGTTTGTGGAGAGAAGTCATTGAAATTTTTCATAAACGAAAAACAAGTAATATAAATTAGGGAAAAATCTCTATACGAAATCGGGATATAATACTACTAATCGGGATAGGCAGGACTTAATGCTTAAGCAATCAGTGTTTTTTTTAAACAATACATTCAGTACATTTATAAATATCTAATTTAGTGTAAGTACTTTCAAAGTTTCAAATAAAAAACATAATATTATGCTTTAGCAACATTACATGTACAAATGACTGACCTTAAACCAGGCCATGGTAGAGTCATCGTAGAGCACCACCCACTCCTCCGACCACGTACTCCATAAGTACTTCCCTGAAACAATGAACGTTCTATGACCGACATTTTAACAAGTTATGTCAACATATAATGTGTAATGGCTGTAGGAAAGAAGAAATGCCTAAGCACTAAGTGTTAAGGTGTCAGCGGATAGTATTACTCTTGACGTAAATTGACTTCATAATATATTTTCATGTACAGCCAATATGCTTGGTGGTGTTTTATTTCTTAAGCTTTGCGAGCCGACGTCTCGAATATCAACCGATTCCTTCCACAATCTGACCTTCTAAAGGCTCCCTAAGGGCTTAAACGTAATATATACTATCTCTGTTCTATATTTTAAAGGCTGTAATCTTTTGAATCGTAATAAATAATTAATCAGTTAAAATTCAAACCCTTTTTTCGCTCATCAGTGACATGTAAAGTGCCATCCCTATTTTTAATTTTGCTTAATTTCATTACAACATTGTTTAGCGATTCACACGAGCGCCTACTTTACAAATTTTAACTCTAAAGTATAAATAGTCCCGTAGTAAAATAGTTTTGGCATACGGCCGAAGGAAATTTTTTTGTCTTTTGGCTACGAAACCTCAACAACAAAAATTAAGAAATTAATGCTAGTTCCCATACAAAATACATATTATTAAGGATTTTTTATTTCACTTTATCGTAAAAACATGGGAGTTAGACAAAATAACATATAATCGCTTATGCCATTACAAAACTAGAAAATATATAGAAATGAAGAAATATGACGATAATCCTTAAATATCATATTCATAAAAAAAATGGGCAAATGATTTTAGAAGGCATCTTGTCTGAGCTCCCATTAATACATAAGCAACCAGCTTGGTGTGATTATTTTGTTTACTTTATAGTGTCTAGTAGTAATAAAACGGGAAGTGAAGTGAAGTATAAGTTGAGTTCGCGCTTGGGAGCTCAACCTCTGTTCAATATAAGCTGTCATTAAGTTTATTGCGCAACACAAATATACTGTACGCCACGCCGATACCAAAGTGTAGAACTCGCATTGTTTTTTCGATAATATATTTTGTAGCTACCTCCATTTTAATATACACAATAAGTTATACATTATATTATAGTGACGATACGATTGTAGTGACCCTACTTGTTGTGCCAGGGGTCACGGGTCGAGTCCCGCTGGGGGCATTCATTTGTATGCTGAGCACTAATGTTTCTACTCCAGTCATGGGTGTGTGTATATTTATAATATGAAAGTATTTAAAGATATATATTTGTAGCGTATCAACTATCCGATATCCATAACACAAGCCTCGTAGCTTACCATGGAACTAGATGGTGCTGTGTGTTAATGTTCTAACATATTTATTATTATCGTATAGTTAAATTAGAAATATGGGAAATTATTTTTTATTAATTTTCAAGTTACATTCCTAGAAACCTAAAGGAGGCTTGCTTTTATAACATAACTCCAGCTGCTTGCCGTAACTTTTTTATTTCCCAACATTAAAAAAAGTCTCCATACCCTAAATACGTAGACCTATTTATTATTAATTCATAATAATTTGTTAGTTAAATCTAACTATTTATTTTTACATACGAAACTTATTATTAAAAGCCATGATATATAAAATGAATAAGGTTGGTTCGCACAAAGTGGTATCTTCAAACCACGTAGCACTCAGGTAATTGTGAAGATTGCATCAGCTCGCATTTGCAACGAGAGCAAATTAGATTGTGCGTATCACTAGACTACACTGTGGTAGTGGTATTTGTTCGATAAGCTTAAATTAAAGTGAAACATTTTATCTACACTACTATTATAAAGAGGAAAGATTTATATTTTTGTATGTTTGTAACGAATAAACACAAATCCACTGGACCGATTTAGATGAAATTTGATAAGAAGATAGTTTGAGATCCTGGGAAAGGGGAATTTTTTATTCCGGAAATCATCCCTTAAGGGGTGAAAATGGGGATGAAAGTTGGTATGGAGAATCAACCTAGGGACAAAACCGAGCGAAGCGAGGGTGAGTCGCTAGTTAAATAAAATAGCTTGTTTTTTTTCAGACAGACTAAAAGGTATAAAATATTTTTTCATACTATACAGATTCCTGGTATTCTACAGATTATCCTACGACTGAAATAGTGTAGGGACATAAATATTGTTTTATGCTTTACACAGTTCTCAATTTTCTAAGGGTTATTTTACAAACGACAGCTTTTATTATACACTAGCGACTCACCCTCGCTCCTCTCGGGTTCGCCCCTTGTTACGTTTTAACGTTTAGTATAGATTTCTCAGATATGAGAATTTTCCCGCAGTAAAATGTATACTAAATGTTGACCCGGATAAACAGTGATCATCATACTAAATTTCATCAAAATCTGTCTCATGGTTATCTCGTGATGCGTTTCCAGGCAAACAGGCAAACATTCTAAAAACTATAGATTCGGCCTCTGTATCGATAATAATGTCTATTTCAATAAGATTTTCCAAAAAATATTTAATATACAAAATCAACTCAGTTCGAATTTTAGGCACAAGTTTAGTGTTGGGGACGCGGCCCCTGGCGGAGTGGGTGGTATTTCTGGATAGGGGACGTGATATATAAAAAATATTTTAAGGAAACAAAAGAGTCAAAAGTTATTGAGACTTAAAGACATTTCCATACATTTCATACGTTTCTTTACCACCATTCGGAGTGGGTAGTATTTTTAGATAGGGGAGGTGACAGAGAGTCAAAATATATTAAAAATATTTTGAGGAAACGTACGAGTAAAAAGTTACTGAGACTTAAATTTATAACATATCTAAAACATTTCCATACATTTCTTTACCTAAATAAGTGATTATAACAGATAAACATACCTTTAACGAATAGTACGCATCCTTTTTTATGTACAATACATATTTTCACAACAATTAATGCTTTATTGTATTTAATATTTTAATAATTTCACAACAACACAAACAAAATGATCTTACATTTTGACAAAAGCAAATTTGATTATTTTTGCCATTTCTGTTGGTAATATTAATAAATAAATAAATAGAAAAATATTATTTTTATAAATAAATAAATAAATAGACAAATATAATAAATAAATAAATAGAAAAATATAATTTATTTACTATTCGTCATACCTTCGTTAGGTTAGGTTAGGTTAGAACAGTTCCCCCCCAACGTGCGTTCACCTTGTCGTGGTGGGGGGGCTCAGTAGTGCCCGGCAACCCAACCGGGCGCGAAGCCAAGAAGCGCACAGGGAGGTGGCCCACTTCGGTGGGCGGTGGGAGGTGGCCCTCTTCGGAGGGCAGTGTACCATGCGGGTTGCTCCTGGTACTTCTCTGATAGCAGAGTGGACTGTGGAGCAACCCCGTGGTTGTTGTGGTCTGCTTCGGCAGACCTGCCGTCGGGGCGTCGTAGTTGAATGCGTAAGCGATCCTGCGACGCCCCATTAAGACGGGGGAAGGTTTTGTTGGGTTTTAGTGGGTAGTACTGGCTTTGCCGGTGAGTCCCACACCTCGTGCGTAAATGCATTTCCCAACGTTAAAAAAAAAAAAGGTTAGAACAGTTACCACAACGCACGAGCCGAGCGAGCGAAGCGAGCGTGCCGTGTAGCGGCCGGCGAGTACCATAAATGACTAGAAAACTAGAAAATTCGAATTACACGCAAAGTACAAATAAAGACATAATCATCTGGAGATCATTTTGACAATTGAAAGTGACGTTTTGACATTTCCAAGTGTCTAAATGGTAGTAATGTCAAAATAATGTATGGAAATGTTGTAACTTTAAGTCTCAATAACTTTTGACTCTTTTGTTTCCTCAAAATAATTTTTATATATTTGGACTCCCTATTAGCTGCCCTATTCAAAAAATACCACCCACTCCGCCAGGGGCCGCGTCCCCAATACTAAACTGCAGCCGAATTTTATTATATGAATAGATGGATAGATATGTGGTCTATACTAAATAAATCATCAAGGAAGACGAGACGTTGGTCTTGATGTTGAAGTGTTGACAGTCTGATGTTATAAACGTTGATAACCACTAGGAAAGGATTTTATAAGATTCGGTCTCTAAAAGGTTGAAAAAATAGATATGAATGTATGTAACCCAGTGTTTTCTCGTTGCCCCGTCCGCGTATTTCAATGAAGTAATATTATATCTTTATAAATTACAACCTAAATATGTGTTAGATGTATAAGCTATATGACTATAAACTTTCATCAAAACACGTTCAGTAGTTCACAAAAAATCGCTTATATAATATTATTAGGATAGGATTTGTAACATGATATTTAAAATGCTTTTTCATAATTTATCCCCTTGGGTTCAAATTGAATCACAATTTTTTTATGAAAAATAATAATCTTCTGACTTTTTGACTGAATTTCTGACTGAATTTTACTCGAAACTGAACAGCATGCGTGGGGCCGAAGCAGGTCGTAATATGTGGATAATAAGGAAAAGCGTTATTGTTGTGTAGACTGGAGTTTGTAGGTTCGATTTCCTCACTAGACGAATATAATACCAAGGAATAGAATCTATATAAAAGATGAAACTTCTAAATGAAAGTTAGGTTATGTTGTGACTTGTAAGTTAAACGATAGCCTAGCCTAACTATAGATCTATTTGTTTCACAACACGTTTGGCTCAGTTTGTAGTGACCCTGCTTGTTGTGCCAGCGCTGGCAGGTTCGAGTCCCGCTGGGGATATTCATTTGTGTGATTGGCACAATTGCTTGTACCTCAGATATGGGTGTTTATATTTATAATATGTGTAGTGTATCAACTATCTGGTATCCATACCACAAGCCTCTTAGCTTACAATGGAACTAGATGGTGCTGTGTGTTAATGTCCCAACATATTTACTTTATTATTTTAAACCCAACCACATGTTGGTTATAACCAACATATGCTTAACCCTGTTACCTTATTTTCAATTCTCCACGACTCGTATGTCACACAAATAATTAATAATATCCCTATATAAATAATTCTTGGGAATTTTATGACAAATTCAAGGAAACATAAGCCGTATCGTAAAATGAAAATATGAAAATAATCGCAAACGGTCTGGATCGAATGGTAGAGTTACTTTATTACATACATTCAAACCCTGCCATAAACGTTACCCTTTTGTGACTGGTGTTAATAAGTGGCGAAACTTTTTATATACGAAGCAATAAGATTTTTATTCCTTAGAAAAGCTTTTCTTGGTATTTCGAAAGCTCAATATAATCTGTACATTTACATTTTATAATTTTTTATGTACACTCAATTATAAGTAATTTCTTATTAAATTGCTTATTTAAGTATAGTAAAGAATTTTCCGCCAATTAGTGAGCTCATTTTATTTATGAAAATATGAGAGCTTTTTAAGAAATGTATTGTTAACTTACGTTTGTACCGTAGCATATAGCCGCCTTTGATCTGGGTCCCGCCATGCTCTAGAACAAATAAAAACAACATTACTAATATTGATTTTCATAACTTCTATAGAAAAGGCTAAAATTTAATACCTGGATTTAAAAAAAAACATTCATTTTCCTTAATATACTAATAGTATAAGACTTCGTTCAACGAAGTTCGTTGAAGAAAGTCCAGAGGTTTATTTTTAAGATACGAGCCATATCCATACTCATATTACGGTAATTATGTATAACATTAGCGTGCTAATATAATAAATCTGAAAGCGTGTTTGTTTGTTTCTTTGTCCTTCTTTCACGTGGAAACGGAGTGACAGATTGGCGTGATTTTTTGTGCAAAGATAGTTGGAGGGGTGGAAAGTGATATAGGCTACTTTTACCGCGGGAGGTTATCTCATTCCCACGGGAAAACATGTTATCAGAATTACTTGAAACTTGATATTAAATATTAATTCTCTTCCATATAATTAATAAATACGTGTTTTAGCATATTTCGAAATTCATACGATAGGGGGTAAAATAAGGCAGTGGTAGCCCAGTGGTAACGCGCTTGCTTGGGAAACCGAGTGAAGCGGGTACAAATCCCGGGTCTCGCACCTCTAATATTTTCATGTGCGAATTATTTCTAACATGATTACCACTTGCCTTACGGTGAAGGAAAAACATCGTGAGGAAACCTGCATGTCTGAGAGAACCTAGCAAGTTTTCGAAAGATATGTGAAGCCCGCCAACCCGCACTTGGCCAGCGTGGTGGACTATGGCCTGATCCCCCTCGTATTGAAGGGAGGCCCGTGCCCAGCAGTGGGACGTTAAAAAGGGCTGAATACAGGGGGTAAAATAAGGGATGAATATTTTTATGAAACCTACCTTTTTAGATTTTTTTGTAATTTTAGCGCGAGCGGACCCGCGGGTTCTGCTAGTATTATTATAAATTTAAATAAAGTTTATCTCCTTTACCTAAAATTCTTACTAACTCAAAATGACTATGCATTCCATATAAAGTTAACCCATAAACATACAATACGACGCCATTTCGCAAACTTTAAAACTCTAAAATGGATGTCTGCAACCCCAATCTTTAAATACAGCTATGTTTTTGTATGACTATCTAAAAATAGCACAAACATTGCAGTAGGTACTTTGCTGTATTCTTTGTCTAGACGTATAAAGGATCTGTAACTGAACAAACACATTCTCGTATTTCTATAAAATATTTCGTAGCTTTTTCGTGAAAATTGTACATATTTTTATTATTTATTAAAACCATATACTGTTGCCCGCGCTCTGTCCGTTTTTTTATTTATGTATAACTATAAAATGCAAAAAGAACTTGTCAATTGCTAATTCTAGAGATAAGCGCGTTTGGACAAACAAGTTTCATGAGCTTTATATGTTTATTAGTATAGATATGTATATATTACTGCTATATATATATATATATATATATATATATACAGATAAATAAAATTGAAGTGTCTGTTTGTAATGTCAAATTAACGGCATTTTACTATATGAATATGAAATTATATACGGTACTTATAAGAACACGTACATATGGGGCATTCCACGCCAAATCGGATGGATTCAAAGTTTTTTATTTTTGATTTTCTTAATATTTTGGTATTTTTTAGTACCCCTTACCCCTTAAAAAAAGATTTCATGGTAAATTTTAAATAATATGCCTTTATATTTGAATGCCCATATATAAAGTGTATAGCCATTGAAATGTCTTCGATGGCTATTGTGTTGTTGTTTTTATTTTTTATTTAAAAATTATATAACTATATGTATATTGGAGAATTTCTTTCCACAAGTTCAAGAGTTTTTAAATTAAAAATATTCTTACGATTGTCATGTCGAACTTTCTAAGGACCATCTTACGCACTTTTTGGGGCAAACAAAAAGGACTTAGACGATGTAATACTTTATTCTCGAAAATTTTACTTTAACTAAATCCAGACGTGCTTAACATCAACACAAAAAATCGTCACATTTTTTTTAAGCCGCTATCTGTTTCCCCATTCTAATCCTCTCTGTATTTAATTCAATAACTTTTTTCTCAGAAATTATATCATTCATAAGTTTTTGCCTGCAGCTCCATGAGTTTACCCAGAAAATAATTTCGCATTATTCCATGCAAAATATGGTCGCTAATTTTGCACGCTCGAGCATAAGCATCGTGGTCAAGCAACCAAGTCGCAAGTTTGACAATCACACAATCCCGGTTAGATACAAAGTTTTTACTTTTGTTTTTTTTTGTATTCAAATTTTTTGTTTTTTTTTTATAAAAAAATACAAATTAACAAAAACGAACTCCGAGCGAAGCTCGGTCTTCTGCAAACGCCGCGCTGGCGATACCAACGTTCTTGTATTTAAAACGACATATTTTGCATTTATACATACATAATTTAAAGACCATCAGTGTCGTCAGCCCGTGAGGAATCTAACACCGACTCGGAAAGCAGTTCTGGTGAGAAGAGCCGGCGAGAAATTGAACAGTTGTTCTTTTAAATATCGAAGCTGCATTTATTTATTTTATTAGCATAACGATATAGATAGAATTGTTTACTTATTATATTTTTGGCTGTAAAATAAATTTTACAGGGTTACCAGTATAAAGAAGGTCTCTACGATTGAAGTATACGAAGATGAACAAAATAGTAAGTAAATATCAATAAATGATCTCATACTAGTAAATTTAGAAACAACTCGTCTGCTAACCTTTGTAACCTGTAAGGGGAAACGTAAAACCAGCATAATGACGCGTTATGCGACCTATTTGCGCGGGCGGAGACTAATCACAGCGCCATGATCCATCATCGTTTACCGTCATAATTGACATTTTAGTACATTTTGTCTTACTTATTTTTATTTTATTGCGCGTTTGCGCGGAGGTGAAAGTGTTTAATTTTTTTTATTACGAAAGATGTTTTGATAATGCTTTGATTATAGGCTAATTGAAAAAGTGAATTTATAATAATTAAAAAAAACTGATTTGATTAAGATTGTTCTTCCAGATATTATTTATTTTTCTTCTAGTTAAATTTTATATATATATATATATATATATATATATATATATATATATATATATATATATATATATATACGCACAAAGTGTACGCTTTTTATGTTTATATTTGTTAGTACTTAATTTACTTAATTGAATATTTTTTTGTCAAAACTAATAAATATGTAATTGCAAAAAGTCGATAAATAAGTGGACGTTCTAGCAACTATGTTTCTTTACAATGTAGTATCGTTTCCTTGCTTCGTTCCAGGTCTTAGATACACTTCAAAAACTTTTGTAATATACTTACTAAAATTACAAAAGTTCTATGGAATCTCTAAAGTCGGATTGATAATATCGTTTACTGCGTACATATAATATTCGAGCACTAATTTTATTGTAAATTATTATAATTTTCTTTAAATGTAATCAGCACCCCAACATAACGTAATGGGAAATTTTGAAATACGTTACGATATTTACAATAGAAAGTTTTGCAGAAGGTAAAAAAATAATTATATAAAAAAAAAACAAGAGGTAGGTGTGCACATATACAATGAAAGTAAACATCTGTTATATTATTCATATACTTAATAACTTTTGTCTGTGTCTACGCCAGCGTGTCCGCCAGGATAGTGTATTTATATGGGTTGAAATCCGTATAACCTTATTAAATGGGCTATAAAGTTCAAAAAGAAATATTGAAATTGAACTAATAATTCCAGAGATTAGCGGGTTCAGATAAACCTTTCAGCTTTATATTATGGTATAGAATGGTATAGAAGCGTTAAAGACGTACATATAGATTATGGGAAATTGTCAAACAACAAACTACACAAAAATATTGCTCCAGTATTTATCTTCTATGAAACATATAATAAAATTGTAACTGAGCCGAATTTTCACGTTAAATAATTTTTGAAAAATCTTATTGAAATAGTCGTTATTATAGATGCAGATGCCGAATCTATAGTTTTTAGAATTTTTCTATCCTGGTCAGGTAGGATATTTTTTATTGCGGGAAAATATCGTCGCTTTATTCAAACTAAGGCAAAAACGTTGGCTCAATCTATTAGAGCAACGGCTGTGAACTGCAATATTTTCACAACAATACAGTGTAGTTTGAGTGATACAATGTAGCTTGCATTTTCTCAATAAAACTTACTCATATACCTAAGCGACTTGTTGCAACAAGTTTCACGGAAAATCCTTGTAAACCCTGCGTTATTTAATATTTTCCAGTCTAATAACTATCTAATATTTATTGGTAGGTAATATTATAAATATTAAAAATTACAGTATTAATTGATTTATCCATTAATTTTGTTAAGAAAATACTGTTGCTTAGTGCGGAGAGCGTGTAATGTCATTATACCTACCAAAAAAAAAAACATTAAAAAAACCAACTTCCAGGCACTAAAATGTAAAAAATAACTAAACGGGGGTTTTCATTTAGAATAGATACCTAATCAGATATTTTCGAAGTCGGTGCCAGCCTATGCAAAGCAAATCTAATGTATATCGATACGTAAAATACATGTTTACCTATTAGATATTGTAGGCTATGCCTTGTGTAAGAGGGAAACAAAACATTCTGGAAAAGTTTCAAATTTTCGAATACTCGAATATTCTTTATCTATACATATAAAAAGGTTGGCAGTGTGTCGAGAGATCAGTTGAATATGGGAGCTAAGTGAGAATGAGAAGAAATACGAAAAAGTGGAGAATAGTGAAGTAAAGTCATAGTGAAAGTGCAAAGTGAAAAATAGTGCTCAGAAACTGTGTGTCTGTCCGTCTGACTAAATGTCAGAACTGTGTATATACCGTGCGTGTAGGTGAATATCCATATGTCATTCTTGATAACGAAAAGTATTAAAACATCAGTAGTGCAAAAGATGTGCTTTAATTTCCGATCCGTAGAACGTAACATTACTTATATGTACATAAAAAGAATGTGACCTTTTACTTCTTGGAGCGAGTAATTAAATATGAATAAATTAAATTTATGTAT